TAATAATAATGATAATAATAATAATGATAATAATAATAATGATAATAATAATAATGATAATAATAATAATGATAATAATAATAATGATAATAATAATAATGATAATAACAATAATGATAATAATAAAATAATAATAATAATAATAATAACATATGAAGACGCTGTTATAATTTATCATTGAAATATTTAAGTAAATGGTTCATTAAAGCACTTTCTTGGAAAAAAAAATGTGATTGATCAGATAAAGAAATATTCTTCTTAATCGGATAAAAATTAATTGGTCATCCTCAGAGAACAATATTTATGATTATGAGAAATTTGATTACAGAAAAATGCAAAGCTACGATGGCAAGCAAGACGATTAATCCTTCATCCGTTTATCACTAGTTTAGCTCAAAATAGTGAATACCTTACGCATACGCTGCTTGAATCCCTTCCACCTGTCGCAACACCAGGTGATGAACAAAGCTCAAGCAGACAACTCCCACCAATTATTGATGTTAACGAAGTAAGTGATTTCTTTTTATCCACGTCTGACTCACGTCTTATTTCATTATTCGTAAGAATATTAATAATTCATGATTATCCCTCCGTTTTTAGAAATTACCCAATGATTAAAGTAATAATAACGATGTTGATGATAAAAGGCTCTCCAGCTGATACCGAAATACTCATGAATTAGTGCATGTAAAGCAGTTAATCGATGGCTAGTTGAGAATTTTTGATGAATTAAACAAACTAAGACATTTTGAATACCAATAATCAGTATTAATGCTATATATAAATATGCGATTGATCCGAACATGAAAGTATTTATGCGAAATTATTCGGAAGATAATCATTTACCATGCTTAAACAATTCCTTTTCATCTTAAACAGCAATTTTGGGATTTTCTTTTCCTTAATATACTTTCCCGATGCACATCCCCAAATGTTTGATTATACCAAAGAATCCATGCTACCATTTCATCATTATCCTTTATACAATTTCCATTCCTTCTTTCTCGATTTCTTTTAAAAGTGAATTCAACTTCGATTTAAAATATTTATTTGCAATGGCTTATGATAGGTTTCTATGATTAATTTTTATGATTAAAGTGACATAACATTAATAGGCTTTAGAATGTGGAAGATCTGCCACCCAATGTCGTATGGGATTATGATATTGAAGTAGAAGAGGAACAAAGAATCAATCGGATCAGCAAAAAGCCTGCTTATACACCAACAAGAATTCCGCCAAGCGCAGAATTATCGATGGTATCCGTCTTCCTCACAAAATATAGCAACAATACCCACAAATATAAACTCTTCAAGTAGCAGCTACAATCTTTATAGATATCCGAAGAAATCATATAATTCAACAAGGAAAAAAGTTAATAGTAAACAAATAGTTTCCATTTGTTCCACTTGATTCAATGCTTTTCCTTCTCTGTTACCTCTTTCATTTATTTATATCCCAAAATTTGTTATTGGAGAAGAAAAATACCGGAAATAAATTGAGTACTTCCAACCAAATCCTTAACGGTTTTTTCTCTCCCTGCTGGGAATTCCGGTATCCAATCAGATATTGTAATCAGTTATCGTTAAATAAGCATGCAATCCATCTGATTCGTCATGCTAGTCGCTCCGTTTCCGATGTAATCATCTGCAGAAAAGAAAATTTACGTTAAGCAAATGGTCATATAATTACTGACCCAAATGAAAACTGGAAAAGGTTTACGGTATCGTTTGATCAATTCATTCAGTTCATTGACTCATCAACCAATGATTATGTCAGACAAGAATTGGATTTTCTATTACGACAATCAATTTTGAATATTAAATTTAACAGTCAGTAGTAAAGATACGAAAATCTAAAACTGCATCCTTTCAGTCTGTGAGTGTCACACAATATGAAGAGAAGGAAGCTGAATCCGAAACGATTATAACGGAGGCAGAATTACTTCATAGTTGTCAATATTCGATCGAAGAGCAAGTTTTCCAACTCGTTAAAGACCGAAAACTGGAAACCAAATACATGGTAATAGTTATGGCGAACCTATGTAAAGTTGTTACTGCTGCACAACGTCAAGATCTCGAAGGCAAATCTTTCGCGTTTGTTATTGAAAAGCGCAAACAATTTGTAACCGTTCTTGAAATTTGCATTAGTGCTTGGTGTTACACTACAGATCATCGGCATTAGCAAATGATTTAAGTCTATTATTAATCCGGTTAATTTCAGAGCATCACTTTATTGCTTACCGGAAATCTAAATGTTAACTGCCAATTTCTGTTCTATATATCTAAAAATTATCGTTCCCCATATTCCAAAATAGAGAGCCTCTACTGCTACGGCATACCGCTATCCCCTCACCACGTTTTCCATTCACAAATATTTGCATAAGTTTAAAGCTTAGCTGTAACAAGATTTCCGATTTTTTCCAACGTGATAGCTGCCTCGCATTTGATTTGAACATTCTTAACTCCACGATGAACTCGAACTGTAGCATGCCCAATTATTTATTAAGTAGAAGGCTTAAGCAAATGATCGCTTCCACCAACTGAATGTGTATCTTGTAGTTATGGATCAACAACAATTAGAAGATTCAAAATTACTGCTGCAATATCAGAAATGTATGCCTTAGCTTGAGTTGTTGTTGTCTTTATCATTGGTGTTCCCATGTTTTTCGAAACCTATTAAAACAATTGCTGTATATACTAGCTGTTTACTTTTTTGAATCAATTTGTACTTCAATAAAAGCACTGCTTTCGGTTTGAGTGGCTATGGACAAGTTCCCACCACCAGAGGTTATAGAACATCGCCTACCAGTGTCCACATAAATAATTGCCGTACTCCCTGCTCATGGTTGCTGAAGTAAGGTATCTTCTGAAGTAAAAGCTGTTCATTGCATTTCTCACAAGACGATCGTCAGTTACGCGTGAATTGGTACATTTAGAATACAAGAACATCACTGACTCCAACTCCCTTGTGATGCAAATGATGCAAATAAACATATTTGGACCGTCTACACCTTTATTTCATTATGTATGACCTGAAACTGTTAGACAGATACTGCAGCTGCTAGATAGATAATTATGAAAACATCGATGGGATATTGTTGAAAAAACCAAACGATAAAGTGCATCAAAATGTGCACAACCACCTTTTCCCCTGCATTCATATATTCATGTCCCTAATCCATCAGAAACTGATAAAAACACCAGAGCGAAATCCATGAGGAACCACTAGGCACTTCAGACACCGAATCCCTACAAGTTTGCACAATCTCGCTTGCTAAAACTTCCTTTGAAACTTGCCCGACACCCTCAGTTTTTCCGAAACAACAGCACAAGATAACATAGACAACAAACTTCCCACCACAATTTCTAGACCATGGGAACTAGCAATCATGTCACCGAAATATGTTGCACAAGCTCTTACACTAAACTAATAACCACAACTAGTAAAGGATATGTGAACCCACATAAAACCCAACGAATTAGACTCTTCCCGTATATCCTGCAAAGTAAATCTCTTAGCACTACTGAACGAAACATACTCCTATGATTAAACACGTCCTGCCGTAACAGCACTGCCACCATCAGCACACACTGCAACCCGAAGACTTCTTTGTGAGATCCTCCATAAAACCTTCAAACTGAAAAACAGCAAAAAAGCAACATTTTCCTGGCCCTAATCATTCTGAAAAATGTTTAGAATCTAGCTTCACTACTCTTCCACACAACCAGAACCAACCCACATAACTGGCACTAGCTTCCCCTGACATTGATTTTTGGCTTCTGTACCACTGGCGACAGATCGTCTCTTCCAACAGCCTAAATGTCTTCAGCACATTTAACGTGTAACCGTCCATTATGCAAAATTTTATATGAGCAATAAAATAATCATCAAGCAATACAATGAACACAGAAACTAAAGAAAAAAAAAGCAATAATCAAATTAAGTAGAGAGAAACCCGGACAACAAGGTCTTAGCAATGGAAGCCAACTTCAAAACTCTCCTGACCGATCTCAGACTCAGTTTGCTCCATAACTGCAGAAATCGGCACACCTTGCGTCTTTTAACTTACGACAATGAATCCTAAAAATAAAACAACAAGTTGAGCAAAATATGTACACACTTTGAGATCACTGAGGTTTGCATCTTTAAACCTTTTTCCAATTCCACAACGTCGGGGAAATGAATGTCGACAAATTCGACCAACTCCTATATCATTCTTCCATGAGATTATGAATATCCAACTGCAATAGCTGTTTCATGCGTAACATTTCTTGTTTCCTGATCTCTATCTGTATATCCTGAAAAACAAATCCACTCGTATAAAATAGCTTGCAAAGGGTTACATTGGCATAAAGCGAATTTCCACTAATTTATTGTCCTATCTAAAAAGCTCCGAAATATATTCAAAGGTAAAGCATTACTTGACAGGAAAACAAGAGCTTTGGAGAAACTCTGATGTAAAATCAATGTTACTGTTAACAGAAGATACAGTATCCTGGAACAGAATGCTGGGCCTGGGCCACTTCGATCGCGTTTACATCGCACATCGAAAGGTGTGGTTTTTTTATTTTTCAACGCAAAACATTTGGAAACTGAAACAATATCACAAACCAAACAAACCCCAATACCATTTCACATAGCTCATCTAACATGTGCCATCATCCACCACACAAATTTCTCCCGAGCTTCGAGATTTCACAATTCCGAAAAAACTATGACGTATAAGGCTTCTGAATTTAGAAATTTCAACAAAGCCATATAACCAAAAAAACGAAGAGAAAAAGACGGCACCAACCTGATGCAACCATCGTTTTGCCGTATAATTCATCGAATAATGCATCTAAACCAAACGGATCCGCATCTGGCTGGCTAAAGCGTGATTTCTTGAAACAAACCGGCGGCGGTGGTGGCGGTTCAATCAATATATTATCAGCTTCCATAACATTCGACGAAGGCAACTGAACACAGTTATCTTGTTGCAATAAACTGTATAAATTGTCGTTATAACCATCAAACTGTCCTGTTTCACCGTTTCCACCTCCACCTCCTTTTTCTGGCTCACTAGCAGACAAATCCAAACATCCCGAGAAATCATCCATGATGATCCCTGGGTGGGATTCTAGTCCAAAATCAGACTCCGACCATGACGACGACGAGTACTCACGTTTCCGATTCTCCCGACTGCTCCTCCTACGATGACGTTTGGCGGCACGTCGTTGTTGATGCCGTTTAGCACGACGTTCCCCAAGATGTTTGCACAACGACTGGATGAAGCTTGTATGCAGCAATTCTCGCCTCAGGTCACGTTCCTTACTGTTGTACATAACCCGACGTCTTTGAATTGCCATTGTTAGCAACGCTCGAGGTGAAAGGTCACTATCACATTCATCACCATCGTACTCCGATGATGAGCATGACGATGATGATGATGATGAGGACGATGATGATGTTGATGACGTGTAATGATAACAATCGTCTGGTGAAAATGTTTCACCCAAAAGTACCATCATATTGTCAGCAACTGAAATATTCGTATGTCGCATCACTTTTTCTAACTCTTTTGCGTATGCCAGCGTCAATCAATTCGTTATCCACGAATACGTAACAAAACCCACGTAATACAAACGTAATGGAAGTGGAAATCTCTCGTACAGCAATATTCGCCAAAATTATTTCCCCATTCAAAGTTCACGTGACAGCCAGAAATACTCTATCACGTGACGCGCAACCACCACGTCAATCTATCAGCACAACCAACCAACCAACCGAGCAACCAAACAAACACGTAAGCAAAGAACCGACCAACAACTACCCTAACAAACCAATCAACTAACGATGGATTTATCCATCGCGAAACGTATAGTATCACAGCAACCGCAACGCCTCACTATGCCGCACGCAACGCGCAACATGTGACAGTTGTGAAATAGTGCCAAGCTAATCGATAAGTTTTAATTGGTCACTCCTACTGTGAACTGTAAATTTGTAAAATCTTGCAATTTACTTGACTCTGAATGGCAAACTTACGAGGTCTTAACAGACTCCCGATATGCCACAGGACTCCCGGCGTACTAATAGCATTATTGATCGGCAACACAACAGGTATAGCTTCTGCTTCTGGCAACAATCCAAGAAAATACCCCGAATGCCTCTTGATTGAAAATTGGTTGCCGGCTTTTGCGACTGAATTTGGATGGTGGAATTTAAGTCTTACAATTGAGTTTAATCAGGGAGTCTGGGTTGTGGATTTGGATCATGTAATTGGATTTAGGCAGCTAAAGAATTCAGGTAATTAAAAGATTCAAATAATTAAATTTTGACTGCGTAATCAAATCAGGGCAAACAAAAAATTAGGATTTAAGTGAATACATTTAGACATTCAAATAAAATTCAGATTTCTGTAATGTATTCGATTCAGACCCAGTGTTAAATTTCATGACACTTCAGTTGCCCCACTATTCATCCATTTATTTAAATTAATTTTTTAAAACCTCTTCCCAGCGTACAATTTCAACAATTTCTAAAGTAGCCGCGGAAAAGAAAATTCATAATATATTGATGTGTTTCAAGTTTTTCTTTGTTTATCACAAATATAAAAAAGAACAAAGCAGGAGCATCCACAGAATGTTAACTGACGATTTTATAAAAATGGGTTAAAAAAGGAAATCTTTTGGGATAAAAGACAAATAAATGAACCATTGCGGAGCATATTAAAACAAAACTGAGCAAATATGTAGGATTTCTCTACCTTTAAGTGATTTCATCTTACTTAAACAACATATATCATTACATGAAGTCACTGATGGTAGGGAAATAAAAACGGGGAGCATTCCAGTTACAGTAATTACTACTTTTTAATATAGTAGTAATCTATACTATCAATTTTTTTGTAACACATCAGGAATTTTTCCCATTCCTAATGCTCATCTTTCTTAAGATTAGAAATACTGTTTTAAATCATACTTAAAAGCTTTTCATCAAAACTGACATATAATTTTTAAGCATATTAATGGGATACATTCCTGATGCTATCAAACGGAGAGGTTAATCTTGCAAACATAAATTCCAATTGTCAATTTCCGTTATGCAATAAAAAAGACGATTAAACTGAACTTGTGACATCATTCTCTGAAAGGCGATTATGGAGTAGAAACATAAAAAAACCAAATATCACGACAACTTGATAAACTGAATGTTATTGAAATAACATTCACTAATTATGATTTTACTTGCAGATACTGGTAACTGCAAGCAGATATCATTCATAATTTTAAAATATATTAGACAGACAGAGTTGCTGCTATTTTAGACATCGCTAGGATGTTAGCATGACACAGTAATTGATAATGATTGAATGAAGCAGAGAAACGACTAATAAAATCCATAATCTAAAGGAGTTTGCTACAGAAGGTACCTTACACTGATATTTAAAGGGAAAGCACATTTCTAAAGTAGGCAGTAAATTAGCCAGTAATCAAGCAGTAACTTGGTCACTAATCAATCTTGCTAGCATACTTCTCGTGAAGAAATGGTACACAAATAATAAGACATGTGATTCCGGCTTATGTTCAAGCTAGCAAATCTTTTAGATGCTGGGGGGGAAAAAAAAGGAAACTACTGTTCGGAGAACATAAATTTCATAATAACAACGATAAATATCTTGGCCCATTTTAAAATCCGGTGATCAATCAAAATTTTTGCTTCCAGTAAAAGACAGGTATACTACCACAGAAGATAATGTTTGGGATTAAAGCTGAACCGATATAAAAAGAATTCAAAATGAAAGTCCCTAAGAAGTGAATCCGCAAGGTAATTTAACATTTGCTTTAACCATATCGAAAAGACATTTTTGATCACTTTCAAAAATCGTTGGATCCCTGAGTGATCTCTGAACAATTGAAACGTACAATAAGGAAAACCACTCTAAGCAAAATACAAAGATTTCCAAGTCTCACTTTTCCAGTGCCAGTTTCAAGATCGCATAATTATATTAACTACTTTTTCAAAGCTGAAAAATCATCCTCGAATTATTTCATACATTTGTTTTTGATTTCCCAATCATATTCATCCGACCGTTGAAACTGACAAATTTGAAAAAAAAATGAAAGAAGTTATGACAATTAAGATCTAACTTTAACTACTACTAGGAAAGCAATTCATTTGATCGTTAAAATTTGGAATCATATAATATCTAGTCATAGAAGAGTAGAAAAAGGAAGAAAGGGAATTACAAAGACAAATACAAATCATTTCTACAATTAGTAGTCGAACTAGATTTGCTCCGAATCAAGAAATAATCAAATAATTCAATCAACTTGAGCGTTACTCGAATCAATCAGTGATATTTGTGCGAAACCTATTAAAGCACGTTCATCCGGCATTTCCTGTGGTGGTACCGAACTTAGAGCAAAGGTTACTGATTTTTTGTCACTTTTCGATAGTGCTGCATCCACAAGTTTTTTTAAATTTGCTGCCACAACAACTAGATCATGCCCATCGATTAGTTCAGCTGCAACCAGCTCATGTGCTATACCTTCAACGGTATCCACTGATGGCGTATAATCAAATTTGATATCATTCAGCTCTTTTTGTGCATTCCTCACACGCAAAACCTAAATTTCGAAAAAAATTATTCACTTAATAAAAGTGTTGATAAAACGAAAAAAATGGAATGATTAATCGAAAAATCTTTATTTACAATTGAAAACCAACTTACCTTTATTGATCCTGAAAAGTTTCGATCAACTGATGTGCGTTATCACAGTAATCTTTTTACCGATCTTCATTTCTCAGACACATAGTATAGTAGTAGTGATGGTAGTGGTGGTGGTAAATCATCCAGCACAGTACTTTTCTACTCACATATCCCTTTTACCTGCTACAGGAGAATAAAAAAAAAAAAAAATTTCCATTCAAAGTATTCGAAAAGTGAACGAAATTCCGAAAATCCAATAAAAACGAAGTACCAAATTGATGGTTTCTGAAGCAGTTGTTGCAGCAGCTGAAGTCGTTGGAAGGTTCATTTTTTCACCCTCTTCTCCTTCTGATTCAGTCTCTTCCGGTTCGAATTCCCAATTACCTTCTGAATTCTTCTTTAGTTTACCCGATGCAACCTGCAAGTACACTTCAAAGCATATGAAAACTGAATTATGCAGCTTCCAAGAGAAACGTACATGTCCACAGTTTTGTAACGCTTTTCTGTCCTGATAAATTATTTGACATTTGATCGAATTTATTGGGATTCAGATTAGACTCACGGAAGAGGATGAGAAATGAGAGTACTGGAGACTATTTTAGGATTTATGGAAGGGGATGAAAATCCCGAATATTGGAGCCTACCCATCTTCCCCACCTAATTTCTTCAAACATTCTACTTCTTCCTGAAAGCGAACTATGAATGAATAATGGAAATTCATTATGACTGTCTAAAACTCGAAATTACAGGGTGGCTTGAATAAGACAATGTAATGAAAGTAGAAGAGATAAAAATAACAGAACAGTATTCAAGATCAAAAAAACAAGTATTTTTTCCAATCATGTTAAATGTCATCCATGAAATTAGCAGATACAGGGCATTTATCGTTTAAGATGCTAAACATGGATACCTTTTTTGGTGTATCAGTTTGATGGTGAGATGGAAGCGGCATGGATGCCAGATTTTCAATTAAGGCATGCACCAAATACTTCTTGTCTTTAGCCTTTTTGAAAAAGGAATACTTGAGAAGTTCGCTTGCGGTTGGTCGCTTTGATGGATCTTTCTAAAAATTTTTGCAAATTACTATTTCATATTACCTTCATTTTTCATTATTTCGTGTAAGTTATTGAGGTAATACATTTTCTGAACTTGAAAAGTCATATTTATTTTAACTGTTGTTTGCTTAAGTTACCAGCAATTTCGAAAAATGGAGAATCAAGTAATCAATTTACTAGACTGAATAGACAAATGAATGATGAAGTCAGCAAACAAAAAATTAATTCTCACTACCTGCAAGCAATCCTTTATAACGTGCCGAAAGCTTTTTCCATATGCTTTATATTGATCTTTTCTTTCTGCATTTGTGTCTAAAGTTGGCGAATCATTTTGTAGCGTTAACATTAAAACCTTAAATTATTGAACAATTAATTTGAATCACCTTTGCAATAAAGGAAAAAAAAACCAGCAAAGTGACAATAAATACATCTTTTCAGTAGTACCATAGTCCATTCGTCACCAAAGTATGAAAGGCATTATAAATAAATATCTCTCGAAAAGAAAAAACCAACCTTCATTGGTGGGAATTTATGATAAGGAGCTGTACCAGTTGCTAATTCAATAGCCAAAATTCCAAAACTCCAGATATCAGCTTTGAAATCGTACCCTGAAACCTGCTCCATAACCTCCGGCGCCATCCAACACGGTGTTCCAACGAAAGTATGCCGAACTTTCTGCAATAATGTATAAAATTGTTGTATTTGAATCAAATTTCTCAAGATTCCATTATTCCTACAAAAAAAAAAAAATAAAAATAAAATACCAATATAAATCTCAACAAACCTGTCTTGACAAATCTCCTTGACTTGCAGCCAGCCATCCAGAAACGCCGAAATCGGCAATTTGAACTGTACCGTCATCGGCGATTAGTATATTGCCAGCCTTAAACATTTTTATCAGTTTGTCCCACATAAATAAATCTCCTACAAATATGAAAATCTCTTTTGCGGAGGGTTGCAAAACTTGAAAACGTCCATAACACCTGATTAGGGAAAACCGAAAAGAGAAAAATTTTGTTTGTCGAATCAATTTCACTATTTACTGATTCAAAACCGATCTTTTTTGATTCTAAGAAATCTTCCACAATTGAATTTTTATTTACAAAAACTTTTCTACCTTGATGTCACGATGTATCTGTCCACTGCTGTGAAAATATTCCAATCCTCGTAAAACCTCTTTCAAGACGGTGGCAATAGTTATTTCATCTAAAACACCTGATGAAGCCGCTTCTTTTCCCATTGCCTAAAATAGAAATAACCAAAAATCTCTCGAAACTAAAATGTGTCGCAGTCTAATTGCATTAATGGTCTCCTTATCCATGCATGTTGAAAATTCATTGAAAACTAAATCGCCAATAGTTTTCATAAGCAATCTACCTTTATACGTCGTTTTAGGATATCGAGCATACTTCCACAATTGAGAAGACGCATGACAACCCATAATTCTTCGCCAACAACAAACGATGTGTGATACATAACGACATTAGGATGCATACATAATGCCATCGCCTTAATAATAGAAAAAAATAAACATGATGTTGCAAATGTTGAACAACCAATACATTCCTATGGTATGGCATGGATTTCATGGAAGTGTCAATCGATAAGCTTATTGTTCATGTAATACCTAAACTTGCATAATTCCTTACACCTTAGTAGCCTGTTACCCTCCTCTCCCAACAAGTTTCGTTTACATTTATTTCATGGAAGAGCTCGTCGACCGAGGTTTGACATTTCTCGAGATTAATGCATTTAATAGCACATAACTCGTTTCGCGGAATGCATAGTGCCTAAAAGTGAAATTTTTCAATACGTTTCATCAACACAATCAAAGAAAGGTATCTCATAAGGCTTTTGATTTTAACTCAATTACACCTCGTCCTGTTGGCTTTTTCTTGAGATAAAAAGACAGTACTTCAAATATTGTAACTCTTATTACGAATTACTAAGCGCAACAAATGATAAAGAAGAAAAAAAACCAAAAAACAAAAACAAAATCGACAAACCCTGTACACAGTGGCCGTTGCACCGATACCAATGGAATCTTGTAATTGGTAATCTTCTTTTTTGTTTGGCCAAATGGTACCACTGGCGCCCTCATCCGGTGGATGATTTGTACTCATCCAGAGTGGTTCTGATCGTTTCACTTGGTGGAAAATAAGCTATGTTACTAATCCTATAAGAACTTTATTTTTATGAAATAACTATCTAAAAATATTGACCAATTAAAGAGCGAAGCATTTCAAGCAAATAGTTTAAATTTTAAAACCTTACAGGAACGATAGTTTTCTTTCTTGCTTTGAAAAATTCTGTCAAAAAAAGAACGTCAATGCAACCGAACTGAAACGATTTCTAAGAATTTTAAATTTGTCCTACCCATTGAAGTATTAGTCTAATTAAAATAATCGACATAAAATAGTATTTGAAATACTTCCAAACAGTGATGCATTACAACGTTTTCATAAGTTTTAAACTAAGTTAAGGATAAATTTCGAATATAACAAAATTCCAGGTAAACTATTCCAAAGCTTCGAAATCCTCAAGTTCTCTTAGACTACAGAAACCATTTTCTTCCTTGGATTTTTCGAATTTTGTTCCAGCAACTTTTGAAATTTAGAACAAATAATTTATGTTTCCTAAAAATTAGCATTAAAAGTTGATATGTGCACATGGTAGATCAACCTTGTAACAAATAACTATAAACGGTTTCAAGAATGAGCCGGAATTTTTTCTTTTTTTGATCACAGGACGAGCAAAGACAACAATGATAGCTAAGGAGTGACGAAATTATTTGAAAAGTGATAAAAAAAATTAACACAACGATAAAAACACGTAAGGCATAATATATGACAAAAGATACAAATATTTATAAAGAAATTGTCAAGAATATACATTAGAAATTCTCGGGAAATTTCCAAAAAAAATCCACGAAAAAGATTTAAAAGGAAAAAATATATAATTAAAAACTATTACTTTGTAATGTATCTGTTCGCTAAGTGGTTACAGCAGTGGGATTTAAATTTAAATAAAACATCAAATTTTGTATTTTTGAATCGTTTATGAATTTATTTCGGGGAAAAAAAGAGTGCTATTTATATGTAAAATGATGAAGGAATAAATGAATAATGTTACAGAAGAGGAAAATCGTATGGTAGAATGATTACCTCTGCATGACAGATAATTAATTACGATGAAAATGACGGCAGGAAATCTATGACCTTGGTCAAAAACTTACGCTCATTTCGATTAATGGTAAAGATCTGTCTAAAAAGAACACCTGTCTCATCTTCCTTTACAATCATCAGTCCGGATCCATCAAAAATACTTCCCATTCTTATCAGTATTCTTGATCTAGAACTGATGAAACTCATAATGATTCATTTACTGTAATATCTTACCCAAATTTGCTTAATACGATAATCCTAGAATGTATATATAATATATTATCAGCATTAGGAAAAAGAAAAAATGCAACCTCTTGTTTTAAAATATGTAAATTTAAAAGTTCTCCGAAAATGATTTCATAATTTTCTTTTTCCATTGAATCCAAAAGGAAAATAATAATAATTCAGCGCAATAAAATTACATCCATAATTTCTCAAATAACTGCACGAATACTTTTATAGAGAGGGAAAAAGAGAGGAAAAAAAAGTGGGGAAACTTTTTCAGTACCGCTAATAATTACCACTTTTCTCTTCTCTCTTTCCCTCTCTCTCTCTGTCTCTTCCTCTCTATACCCTTTTGCACTTCTCATAACACCGGAAACAACAGATGTGAAAACGGATCACCTGACTCAATGCAAATCATCAATAACATTTATTAGCTTAATATTTCGTTTAGCTTCGTTAACGAAATCTTCTAAATTTCCTCATTCCCTTTCTTTAATTCAAACCATTAGTTTAGCTTCGAAAGGCATTTTCAAAATCAAAATATAATGATCAATTAACTACCATTATTCAGAAATTTCTCAGTCATAATTCAAAAGTATTACCATCAAATTAATAATAAACAAATATCATTAATGTAATGTAGCATGAAAAAAAAACAGCTAATTAGCATTTTATTGATGATTCAATAAAAATGATTTTTTTTGCTTTTTTTTTTTTTATTGTGATGGAATGCACTTAAGAACTTATGAGAAAATGCCTTATTGAAAACTGTTTACCTCATAATATTCCTTCCCATTACTGAATGAAAGAAATTTCATTACCATTATATTTGAGAAAAAAGAATGAAAAATGGAAAAGGTGCAAAAAGTTTCACCATTTCAAGGAATCTATTCTTCTGAATAGAACAGAAAATATAAAGAAAGCAAATATTCTATAAGTGACAAATGATCTTAACATGATAAGAAACAGAAAATAGGCTAAGTAATAGCAAATAATTCCTACCTTCTTATAATCAACTCTCTTTATGAATGAATATGAAAACCGAAAAAAAAGAAAGGAAAATATACTATCGGTGTAAAAAAGAGGTGGTAAATAACTTTTAGCCTATTTTATTTCATCTAATTCTTATCTTTAAAGCCATTTATATTGCTTTCTTTTAAAATAATGATAAAATAATTTTACAGCAACAGATGTTTCTTTCCTTCGTCCTATTTTGAATAGAAATGTATTTTTAACATTTTCAACTGTATCATTTATTCGAATTTAGCAAATTCTGTGACAAAATAGCTGTCCCTCTCCTTTAAATTTAAAATGCACTATTTTAATTCATAATGAGGATTTGAATTTAATCATCGTTACTCGAATCAACTAAAAATGCAGGTCCTAAATTCCAGTTTCAAGGAAAAAAGAAATTAACGACAATTCAATTATCAGTGATTAATCAAGTTGTCTGCTGCATCTGCTGTTGGTGATGATTTTGCTGTTGTTGCTACTGTTGCTGTTGTTTGTTGCTGCTATCCTTGTTTACTTAATGCTTGTTCCAATAAAGCTATTTGTGCCTGAAAATAAATTGTTGTTAGATGAAGAATTGTAAGGTAGCAACATTATTTCATTTATTTCTCGAGTGTTGCATTTATTAACAAAGAGATTGGCAACAGTAAAAAATGGTAATTATTAAGTAACTAATAATCAAATAAAGCTAAAAAAATTCGAAGTACTGTTAAAGTTATTCTTCATGACGACGGAGATAAGTAGTTGAAAAAAAATAAAAAAATAAAATAACAAGCAAAAGCGGTGGTGATTACTAATAACGAAAATGATTAAATCTTAACAAGATTGACATCATCACCCTACTAAACATTAATCTGATAGATCATTATGATTTCTTTTTTTTTCTTTTTTTGAACAAAATATAGCATAATGAATTCAATAACAGAAATTCAACTTGGGAAGGTAACTCATTTTCATAGAAGAAACACAATTAATTGAAAGGAGAGCACTGTAAAATAATTTCATAGATGTCTTACGGAAAACGAAATTAGCGGAATAAATAGCTAATCTAAGAAGTCGCCAAGATCAAAATAAAAAGATGGAGATAAGTGATATGAGAATGTGCAAGGAGCATAATATAAAACTCCTTATAATTAGGAGTATAAGCATAATATAATATAATTAGGAGCATGATGTAAAACTGACGATATATTCGAATAAGGAACAAAATTTGATTTGTTAAGTATTTGACTTCAGGTGATAAAAGAAATTAGAAGTGTCATATTAAAGTAACAGGAAAAAAAATAGTTTTAAAGAAGTGATCCATAATTATTACCTTGGCATGTTTAATCTGAAGATCCGCTAGATCGGTTAAATTCTTCTTAAACGCAACTAATCGCCTCTTCTTCAAATCCAATAATTCACCTTTTGCCACTTCACTGATGTCTTCAAATTTCTTGCAAGCTTCACTTTGCTCCGCTTCCGCCTAAGCAATTTTGCTTACTCGACGCATAAAAACAAACAATCACAATCATCGTGAAACTTTGCGAGAAATTTAGGATCTATTTCAGTTTGTGTAATGGAAAAGAAATGTGTCGGAGCGGTTTGAAGGATATCAGTATCAATCGATTTCAAAATTTAGGGATTAGACGAAGCATTAATGAAGATGAAGTCATATTATATAAGTATACTACCTGTAACCAGAAAAAAGACACGCCAAAAAGTGAAAACTAAATGCATATTTAATCAGATAAGGTTTAGGTCATCTTAAAGTTTATTCAAATACCATAAGACAGATCTTGATGATTTAGAAACGTTGAAAGAATAAAGATTCAAAAAGTGAGGTGAAATGAAAGAAACTTTATGAAAAATACCTTTGGTATATCTTTATTACGTCCCCTGGCACGTTCCAGAGTTTTGTTCGCTCCTTCATAATTTGCCAAACAGCGCATCCGACGATAGAGAAGATCCTGAAGAGAAACTAAATACTTCGTTATATAACATTTATTACAGTTAAATAACAAATATCCATTACAGCTACTAAAAATTTAAATAATAACATTGTAATCGACCGATATCACGAAAATTTCATTTTTGTTGCAAAAATAAGACCTTTATGCTTATGTATTCTGCATCATTAATATGTTTGCTTAATCGAAAATTTTAAATTAAGGAAAAATAAAGGAATAATTAAAAGATATCCCGAAAAAGAATATTTGCCTTAAGTCGTATGATAATTGTATCATCATGATCAAAAATGTAAAAAGGAAGAGAGCATGAATTCAAATTTCCAGCAGGTCTTAATATTTAATTATCGCAATGACAGCAATCTTCTCGCCAATACTTCGGGTCTTAACATTTGCGATACTCTTCACTTAACATTTTTCAAATATAGCACGACTTAACTTAGCGGCATCCGTGTCTTTCATATAGTATTGCAGAGTATCACCCAACTTCAGTTCTTCATCAGTCGCTACTCGACTCTAAAATATGGTGATTTTTTGGATTCTGTAATTACTTCAATAATCTCTGCCAGAACTAATTCAATATAACTCGATTATTTTGAATGATCATTTCATTTCACTTGAATCACTTGCAAATATAAACGAAAACAATATTTAATTAGTTAAATATCTGAAATGTTAAAAATAAAATTCAATCAACCTCATGCTTTTTGAGCTTTTCGAATGTGAGTGACCCTCGTACTAAATCTTTTTGCAACTCACGATCCAACTCTTGCAGCGCCATTTTTTCGAGACATGACCCAATCAGTGCATATGAATCAGCAACATCTGAAAATTTCATTCTTATTTAACAAATATTTCCAATGAAAATTCTTACAACAATGAAGAAGAGAATTTCTTATCCTTTTTTAAAGGGAACAAATTGTATTCTTTGTTGTATAAATGAAATTGATCAGTCACACACACTGAAATGATAGCAATATAAATGGTATTGGTCATACTCTTTTTCAGTATTATTTAAGTGAGAGAACTCTAAAAGTTCCTTTCAAAACTTAATTAAAAAAACTCTTCTCCCATAACAGCAATGCAAAAAAAAATATTTGACCGTAACTCATCTTTTCTAGACGTATAAACTATCCATTTTCACTCAGAAAAAAAAACAGCTCGAAGCAATTAATTTTTTCTTTTGCTTAAAGATTGAAACATTTCATTTTGTATGCTATGAAAAGTTACAAATTCATCAATGATTACAAGGATTCCGATTTCAAGCCTAAAATGTGATAATTGAATTTGCCAAATTCAAGTCAGCAGCAACATTCTATCATCTCATTTGATCATCGCGAAATCTGTTATTTGAAAATATGAAGTTTTTTTTTATCTTACACATTTGACTTATATTCAAACCTTAAAAGATGAAAATCGATCGATGCAAGATATTTTGCACAACATTCGATAAATGATAATTGCATGAACTTTAGGAAAAAATCCAGAGATAAATCGAACAACCCTAGAACAGCTATCTTGTGCTTATTAACAAATCTTTCATGGCATTCTTATATTTTTCTCTCCGTTCATTTATCCATACTATCATGCTCATCCATTTTTTTTTTCCCACTAAATATAGCTTTTAGAAAAGAATTCGGCATTAAGCACTAAGATGATGAGATAGTTAACTTGTTTGATGTCTAAAAAATGTTTTTTAAAGAATCAAACGACACAATATTTTGACGATTAAAGTTAGACAGGAAATGAAGTATGAAGATATAGCAGAAAAAAGGTGAATATGCTAGAAATTAATGGAAAAAAGTATCAAAGAATACAAACCAACAAGGAATAATTCAAAGTTTGTATAATGGGAAGAATAAGTTGGAAAGAAAATTTTCTATTTCATGAATTATTAATTTAACAATGGTTGTGATAGGCAAACACAAGTGAACAAAAAAAAAAGAAAGAAAGAAAAATACAAGTATGACGCGTAACATTACTTTATTTAAGAGAAAAAAAAATCTACAGAAAGTCCCATAAACTGATGAATTATTTTAGAAATTATCAATTCAGCCATTGGCAAAAATACCAGTAAAGTTGAACTTCAAAAATACTCCAAGCTTGTAGTATCATTAGAACGTACCCACAATTTTAAGTGTATACCCATAAGTTATCGATGTATTTAGTATCATGAATTTAAATAATAGGGAAAGCACCCATAAGTCCATAACATCAACAGACATGATCAAACAAATAAAACTTAAGACGAATAATTAAAGCTAGAAGATTGAATGACAGAAAAAAAAGATTGAAAAGATTGACATTCTGGCAGCCGAATATCTCAACATGATACTCCTCGCTAAACTATAAAATATTCACTAAATGAAATTGATGAAATTGCACTAGCAAACTATAAACATAAACGTCAACGTCAATATTTCCAACACTTTTTTTTCTTTCGTTTTCTTTTTTTTTCCTGAATAAAGTAAGACTAATGTTATCTTGTTCCTTAAATTAATGTGCCTCTTTCAAATTTCAAATTTCAGCAATTCCTCTCTTTCTTTATAATATTTACAACGCAAACACACCAATCCTACTTGCAACTTCGTTCATAAAAATGAAATCATTAAAAAATAGAAAAAAAAAGAAGAAAAAACAAGATCAAAGGAACAGATGAAGAAAAAGAGAAAAAAAAAACGTAAGAAAAATGAAGGAAAGAGAAAGTAACTGGAGCATCCTTGCAAATTTTGAGATGCTAAATAAGTTCGAAGACTTTCTTGCATGATTCGTACGGAAAAAGAAAAGAAAAAATGATAAAGATCAATAACCATCAGCAAACGTCTTTGAAAATACAAAGTGAATAAATACTGATTGCAAAGCAAACAATATTTCCGGAAATAGAGAAGTAATTGAGCAGGTAATATGAACACTATATCAGTAACGCAACTTACTTATTAATCTTTTAAAATTATTTTCAAATTAAGAAGCTATGTTTATATTAATCAAGACGAAAAGAATGAAGTCAAAAACTTCACGAACTTAAAAAATCAACTTGCATTTCAATTTTGCTGAAAATCTCAACTCAAACAACGGATAAACCAAAATAAATTAGATATTGTCAGTGAAATGAGCTAATGTCTGGTAAAAATGATGACATGATAGATAAATTAATGAGAATAAATTTCGAGTGGAAGTGTTAATACTGTAACTACCTGATAGACAGCAGTCATCCGATCAGCAACTGATGATTCAACAATTTTTTTTAATCGAATACAATAAATGGATCCAAATAATTGCAACTGAATAAAAATTAAAATTAAGTCGCTAAAATCTAAACGAAAAAAGCTTTTGTAAATTTTTATGCAATGAAAAGGAAGAAAAAGCTGTGAAAATTTTCTAGAGCATCACTGCAACAAACGTATAATTGGTTGTGACAATCTGAAAAGAAATAAATTTATAAAACTGCAAAGACAAGAGAGTCGAAAATACTAAAAAATGGAAGAGGTGAGAGAGAGGAAGGAAACGAGAGCGATGACTTTTACGGAGTGCAGTATAAAAGGAATTTTAGTAATTTGTTGCTGAAATAAAATTTTGCAGAAAATAAAAGGTGGAGAAAAAGAAAAAAGGGAACGGAAACTTTTGCAAGAAGTTATCGCATATAAAATATCAAATTTTATAATATGGCTGATACTCAATAAATCTTCCTGCAAAGCATAAGTGATATTCGATAAATTTATTACATTCTCGTCACTTTTTTTTTATCTGGGAAAACAAAGAAGTTTTCTTTCTAAATAAAATAAAAAGGAGAAAGTAAACTCAAATGAAATCCAAAAAGAAAAGTGTAGTGATGAAAAGTGAAGAACTTGAAGTTGCAAAAACACACAGCCATAATGTCCCTTACGGAATACTTCAAATAAGTAATCCTAAACCATTCCCGGATTTTCTGTGGTAAATAACGAGGTGAGGCTAAAGTTACAAAAACTTAAATAATCAAATATCTAGACATCATTCGAACCCAGACACACCTAAACATTACTGCATAATCCAGAACTATTCCATTTATTCATAACTGTTTAATATTTTTGGAGGGAAAAGAATAAAAGAAGGATAAAGATGTAAAAAACCAAAATTACATTCAACTCAAGAATTTTCCTCTACAGGACAAAAGAATACTCCACTCCAAATTTTCAATAAACAACTACAATGGTCTATAGGAAAAAAAATGAAAACTCCGAAGCTAAGGTGATTAAAAACGACTAAAAATTAATCGGAAAATGAAATGTTAAGAACGGCATTTCATGACAAGATGTATAAGTTTGCTCGATCCCCTCATTTAGAAATATAATTCAGAAAAAGCAGTTTATACTAGAACTAGAAAAAAAAACAAATCAGACAACCAATACATCAATGGATAAGCCATCCAAAAAAAAAAAAAGAAAAAAAAATTCAGTAGGGAAAATTCTACGTCCTATTCTGAACAAACAATCGGTTGCAAGTCTGAAGAAAATAAAACACTTCCCATGCTTCACATAAATATTTGATGAGGAATATGCTAAATATCAGCGGTTAAAATGAACATGCAATTATTTTAAAAATCCCTTATGAAATCGCTTCTGATGGCATAAATCCTACAATTTTACCGTCCTGCAATTTTTGGTAAATAAAATTACAACGTCGTAATAAACTGTAAATACTTCACTTCAGATCAATAAACTGTAAAGTCTATTTCACGCAGAGTTGTAAGCAGCAAGCATTTATAATATCTTTGTTTACTTAGTAATCAAACATTGGTAATATCGTCAAGACCAGACCAATAAAATTATCTTTCCCTCTTTTCAGAGTTTATAAGTTGTGAGTTAGAAGGAAGTCTAGATTCCTTTTTTATGAACGATCTGAACAATTGAAACTAACAAAGAAAAAAGGCTAGGGTTTACAAAATAAATCCAAAAAACTGAAGAAGAGGATGACTAAATTGTCCCACCCAAAAAAAAAGTATAACAAAAAATGAGCTAATCACAGATCCTATTTTTAAAATAGGAAAATAACAGCGAAAACTAACTTTTACGAAGTCGTGAAATCCTATCACATCTCGATGAAGCTTCCTTCACATGAGTATAATACTCAATCAAATAATTCCGCTCATGTTCAAAAAAATCATCAACATCTTTCTACAAAAGGAAATCATAAAATCATCGTTCTCACACTTCTTTCCCATTTATAAGGCATGAAAGATCGGGTAGATAAAACTTGAGACAACTTTAAATTCGAACCTCAATTCACCATGCATTAGTACCTATCATATGTTGAGGACTTTAGTAATATACTAACTGATTATATGGTATAAAAATTAAAACTCAATATTATACATTTTTTCCTACCTGTCCTGACAGTAATACTTCATCGGCAGATTGCGTTAATCGTTTCCAAAACGACTCAACAAGTTCTTTTTTATTTTTCGCACGAACCGAAAGCTAAAACAGGAATGCAATATAATAAACCAGTTTGAGAACAATAGTTGAAAAAAAACATACAAGAAAAAAATTCTCCGAGCAATTTATTATCTGTTAACTGGCACAATCGCTATCCCCATAACAATTTCATCTTATTTTTATGCCAAATCCATCTACTATGTTTTTTATTATCTGTTAACTGGCACAATCGCTATCCTCATAATAATTTCATCTTTCGCACTTTTATGCCAAATCTATCTACTATGTTTTATAATTGCCACAAATTGATGTAAAATAAAATGGAAATTTTTTTATTCTTAGTTACGAAATGATAACAAAATTTTCATCAACTTTTCACTAAATGAAAGGAATTTTTTAAATTAAGCGTTGAAATGACCAGAAATTCTTTACGTTCAAGGAAAATTTTTAAAATACTAAGAAGTACTAAGAAGTCAAATATTTGTAAGGATACTTACATCTTGTTCATATTCTAAAAATATCCGGAAATTGGGATCATTTTTGAAAACCGGATGCGTTGCAAGACGACAAAGAAACACTTCATGCATGGCGACCGTCTTCTTGAATGTCGCAAGATATTCCCTGAAACATTGGTGACTCGAGCAATTTAAAAACTAGTTGTCCTGAAAAGAAAAAAGAACCCGGTGATTAGCCGTGGGAAAAAAAGAAAGTTCTGTAAATGATTAAGCGCATTTCTTACTAGTTCTATTGTTGATAATTTCATATTCAAGAAATAACTGGCCAATTAAAATGAAACATAAAAAGGAAGAAAAAATTATATTTCGATTATTCGTTTAATACCAAAAAAGGAAAGATAAACAATTCTTTCGAGATTTCTGTAAACAAAATAGTCTAAATCTGGCCTTTCTCCTTTCTTCTTTATTCACTTCACTTCCTGCTTTTTAATGCTAATTTAATACCACCATTAATTTTAAAAGCCTCAGTTATATTAATGACCAAACTTACTGCTCTAGTTCTTGTTTCATTTTCAGAAATTCATCCTTAGTCATCGTTGATTCACCTTCACCCAATCTTTGAAGCTTTTCACGTGATGCATCAAAATCTGGTCGTGGTGGTGCTGGGGGAATCTATAAACAATTCTCATCGAGAATAGTTAAACAGATTATAAGTGCAGTAACCAGGACAGTATATCGTCCTTAAAATACTGCTATTTCAATTTGACACTGAAACATACAATAAAGCCTGCATATGCTTCGTTTTCCTCTAAACATGTATGCAACCAAATGAATTCCTCATGTTCTCGTACAACGCTGACTTCATTTTTTGAAAAATCCGGAAGTGTCGTCCTTGTATGAACTGTATATTTCACCTAAATTAGCACTATCGAATAGGAAAATTAAATCCTGAGCACATACGTAATGTTTACTTGTTACATTTCAAAACTTTATCTATTTTCTTTTTTTTTCTTTTCTGGGAAGAGAGGGGAAAGACACATTCAAAGAAATGCAAATTTCAACAAACAGATAGATAAAGCTACGAGAGATACGGTCCTTAATTTGCTCTATGTTTCAAATATGAAGTGCTTATATTTGATTTATCAATTACTGTTTAATTAAATTGGTTCAACAATTTGTTTTAGTTGTTCCCCACTTATATTAAAAACACATCTGATGTGCATAAAAGAGAAGTAGTAAATACTAAATCTTACCTTATCTCTTTCAGAGAGAGCATCCGAAATATCAACAATTAGACTATTATCTTTTGATAAATCAACGTCGCTTTCTTCGGTACGATACTGTTGGAAAAGAAAACGGTTTATTTCAATTTTTATCATTATATTATATAGCAAAATTTATATACAATGATTAGATATAACTTATGTGTATCTGAAGTTGCATAAATAATTTTGCATTGAATTGAGAAAAACAACTAAAGACCATCCGACAAAACTTTTGCCGTGTAAATTATCTAACACTTTGTTATGTAATTTAGCTAGTTGGGTAAATGAAACAATTTTCACTTCATCACAAAGTTAGTGCTTCCGTTAACTACGAAGATATTGGAAAAGCCTTTGTAAATTTATTTGACAAACAAATAAATTCCAATTCATTGTCTGTTGAACCAATTCGCTAATTGCCTATCTATGCGGAAACAAATCAAACTTACAGTCTTTTCATCCAAAACATCACCATTGTCCCACGAAGTTAACGTTTCCTCATTTTTCCCAACTTCTTCATCACTACTTGTTGGTTCTAATGGATTTGTCACCGTTGTTTTATCTCTTCCATTTACAACTTCAGCCATACTTTTTTGTTCCTCTCTTTCTTCACACTTACCTTTATGAATCAAAATTTTCGTCAGCAAAATTAATTCTTAATTGCGCGCTTTTTTTTTTATTGTATATAGAAACGGAAAACATGAATCACTAATAATTCGAATCAAACTGGAATTCGAAATTTCAAGCACTCCAATGTAAAAATAAATTCATTCCGCTTAATAACATATACACATATAAACGGAAAAATTAAAATTAAATCATTAAAAATTCGCCACAAGGTAATGATATGAATGTAGAGAAGGAAGAACATAAATTAAATACATATACATGAATAGAGATAAATTAATTTAACTAATTATGTTAAGGAGTAATTCCAGTACAAATATCAAAATGTCTCCGTGTACAACTGAAATCAATGACAACCCTTACAACAATCACTAACATCATAAGTTATCTGTTTAACTCACCAACAACAGCATATAACGCATACACACCATTCATTCTCCAAAAATCTTACCATAGCCCGTCACCATCATCTAAATACATACTATCTTACTTCACCCTCATTCACTGAATGCATTATTAGGCCTGAATATTTTGTAAATTTCTCATTTCGTAATTACAATATATTTCTTTTTCAATAAAAAGTAAGCCCAGTCATTTTTTAGGCTAGGATATTACCGCTTCTTTCATTTCAGATTTTTAAATTTAATCTTTTTTAAAGTTTATCAATTCGTAGAAATAACTCAAACTAACATAACTGTCTGTAAATATACAATGATCAAATTTTGAACAGACCAAATAATATTAATAGGGAAACAATAAATTTTGTTTACTTTTTTCTCTTGAAATAATTCCATGATTCATCGCGGATTAGCAGTCTTTCCATGCATAAATATTTTCGCTTCACTTATCATAACAGCATATGTAAATGCATCAGACATGTAAAACGAAAATAGTATTACTTATCTCTAACGTGCAATGCAAATATTTGGCACCAAACTTCGATATAACGTAAATATACGTGGTACGTATGCCACCCAAGACTTCAATTTATTATAAACAAAATGACGTGTTAATGTATTTACATGTCTTATGCAATGGATTTACGTGTTACTATGTGTAACACCGCAATTCTATCCTACTATTCCCAGTTTGGAGTAATTTCCACGTGAATGTACGTGAACAACGACAGAATAAAGCATTAAAGCGTAACATGGCAACAATCGGCGTCACGTTTTGTGCCACACTGACTTGGTCTGAATAACGTTTTTAAAACCACTCCTTAAATTTCAAAAATATTTAAAGTATCTGCTGAAGTAGTTACGCTTATGTGATGACTTGAGAAGGAAGTAGTAACGCGGAAGTAGTGTAATATTTTCATACGTCTTCTTACATTTCACGTTTCTTGACCTTTACCCTTATTTTCACATATGATTACTTTTTCATTTACAACTTCCCCCATCTTCCTATTTCTCATTTCCTACATTTCACTTCTTTTGATCAACATTTCACGTCTCTCTATTACATGTTTCACTTATGTGTGTTTTTTTTCCTCTGTTTTATTGTTTTCCAATACGAATAATTCCAGTTTAATTTTACAGTTTTTGTGTTTTCATTAATTCTTTTCTCTGCTTATTTGTGTCGCAGTGAAAGGATATCTCCATTATTTCATTACTAAAATTTCATCATTTCATTACCTTATTCATTATATTATTATGTCATTATTCCATCATATTATTACTTCATTATTTCATTACTAAAATTACGATATTTTTGTAATTTTTCAGAAATATTATTTTGTAGGAACATTGAAAGCGGTTGCAACGGTAATGAATGTAACAGATGACTCTGATTCGGACATATATGGTAAACCTAAATTTAATAGTACAATACTAGGACCGGATGAACGATCAGATATACGAAAAGGGGGCAGAAATACCGGACAAAATGGTAGTTTGTTTCTAATTTTTTCTGCTTTTTTTTCCTGCATATTTCTGAAAATTTCTCGTAGTTTTGCTGAAAAATATCAAATTTTTCATTTAAAGAAATCGCAAGTTTCATTATTTTCTCAGCTTTGATAAATATTTTTTATTTTTCACATTTCATTTGTTTCTTTATTCAGATTTTTCTTTTGCGCACAAACAGTTTTTATAGTACGATGAAAAGTTTGTTTTATACAAAATCTTAAACCTAAGATCTGCATTGACAGCTTTGAAACTATCGCCGATTCCGAATGACCGGGTGCAGTTCATAGGTTCCAGCGGTAGTCCATTCTCAGAGCAGCAACACTTTCATAATTCCGAAGAGTGCTCGAAGCTACAAGCTTCCGATACAAAGGTTATTTGTATTCATTACGTTTTTTTTTTCTTAAATTATCAAGTTTCGACAATAAAGTTTGAGGAACTTATTACGAATGTTTATTTTGACTATGAGTTTAAATGCTTTTTTCGATACTCTAACGGATATTTTAAGACATTGCGATAAATGCAAGCAAAAATTAAAATGATACCATGTTTGCGAACAAATACTTGGACCCGAGAGTATGCCGTTTTTCATGAAGTGCTAATTAACCATCCAATAGGTTTGAGTGAAGAGTTGGAAAATTTGAATAATTAAATAATACTTTAATACTGTAAATTTTTTTGACAAATATGTGTTTTAAGACGTCCATTTGAGATGAAGCGATTTTCAGGTCCGAAAAATAAAGCTTGGAGATGAGACATCGTCGTTAGTCGTAAGATCTAATTCTAAGTCTGTTGAAACTGATAAAGAAAATATAGAAGTGGCACTGTTGGAATCGCACATCCTTTCTGAGAGATCAATTCGACCGCAGTTAGTTTATTCTGTTAACTGAAACGATACTTCAAGAATGTGGTGGACTTCATTAGAATTGTTAGTAATGTTGTGAAACTATTCTGCATTTATTTTTTTTTTTTAAGGAGTAATAGCACTGCACGTTCTCACATAACGAATCCATTCGACAGTGATATTATGGGAAGCCTTTGTGCAACCACCTACAGCCCAAATCTTTTTAATAATTCTAAGGTTATTTTTCCTTTTTTTGCTGGTTATTCGGATTTTATAAACTTTTCGGAATTCCTCGAATATTTACGAGCCATTGTAACTTCTTTTTTATTATTTCCAGAGAAATGTCGAGTGTGAAACTCCTGAAAAATCATTTCGTTGGTCGATTGGACAAATGGCGGATCTTCATCCGGCAGTTATTGATGAAACGGAGTCAATGTGTCAAATGTGTCAAACACCGTAAGTTCTGTTTCATTTTGCTTTCCAAATAGCATCATTTCTTTGGCAGACAAAAAATTCAACGATAACTTTCTTTTCAGGGATCCAGCTGAAGAAGCCCAAATTAATAATGCTATCGACAAATTTTGGGCATCTCAAAAATATGTGTTACCATCTCCTTACTTTGTACGTTTGCTTCATGGTTAACACTGGTAGAAGTTTGGTTCTTCGCCGTAATAGAAATTCTCGCGATGCATAACAATAGCTGGCATCAGATTTTAGCTCATTTGATCTCTCTTAAAGGGATTGATGAGATGATTCAAATACAAATCCTGACAGTCGGAATATTTTTAGGAAAATGTGAGCAATTTTGTATATTGTTTTGCATTGCAGGATCTGTGATTTGTTTGCATATCTAACAAAATCTTTATTTTAGGCGAAAGAATCGACTAATTCAGCACAAGATTGTAGTCCAAACTTGATACAGAGATCACGAGCTTTTGTATGTCGAATTCTTCGCTTACGTAATTGTAAGATATAAATGCTGAAATATGGCATTGCTATCTGAGTATTACTGTTTTACGCACAATAAGTTTAGTCTATTGTATCGAAATGTAAGATGAAAAACTGTTTACTATTTATATTAATATCAATATTACTTCATATGCTTTTTTTAGTCGTCATGGAATATTAAGATTTTTGCAGGTGCAAGAATCTCCACTAGCGCGTCCAGTTGTTGCTCGATCTATTGAATCAAAAAAATCTGTTGAAGTGCAGACTATGTTTACTTTCCCACCAAACCTTGATTTAATGAGACTTCTAGGTTGTTTGTTCATAACAGTCCAAAATAAACATAGGAATATTTTACTTTTGCAAAATCTGCTTCATCAGTTCGCTTGTTATGCTGTTTCTTATTTCTGATTCTGTCATAGATTGTTCATTATGCTTAATACATTTGAACGAAATGGCGGAAATAATAGGAGCGAAGTAAGAGAGCAAATATTAGTTGTTACATCAGTGATCATTATTTTTTACCTTTCATCTACCATCATTTTGGCGTATGATCATCTTATTCGGTATAGAATGTCAACAATTGGATTTAATTTCGTGTTTTACTTTGAGTTTCTTTAAGGTAATTGCTTCCAGCATGAAGAAGGTGAAGTAGCAATTTTCGAAGCGAACTTATCTCTTAATACATTGCGTCGTAAGCTTTTCCTTGATGCATTGTCGTCCCATGCAAATACTGAGAATGGAAGTGAGAGCTCGGTAGCGATGGATATTGATAACATTTACGATGAAAGTGAACCATTTAACCTTGAACGCCCTACATGGTACCACTCAGTAAGCTGGTTATATATGTATATTTTATATCTCAAGAATTAATATTACAATTTCATATTCATTCGTGTTTCCATCCATCTAGTATAATTGGTGTTATTTTTGACATTTAACGAAAAAAAAGGCTTTTTTTCCTGTCTCCTTTAAATCAGCTTTGTTACAGAATGATGAAATAATATCAGCAAGGAGAGTTTCATTTGATGGTGTTATGGATCCAAATGGAGCGGCTGAAATCAGTTGCCGTTTACTTTCCCCAGACATTTCACCAATAAAAAATTAGGCAGTTTTGTTGATTTCTTCTTTAGACGGAAATAATAAAATATTCTCATACCGAGAGGTTTCCAACGGATTGCTTAGAATTTATCTCTTTTCACGTTAAGTCGGTAATTTGTTGACAAATATTGAAAGAAATTACAACCGGTTATTATTGCTGTAATCTAATTTTGTTCCGGTGTTTCATGTGTGTTGGCAATGCATTCTTATACGGTGTCTTTATCCCGTTGTTCAACTATTGTATTATTGCTCACATCATTGGTATTTTTCTTATGGAATAAGCAGATAAATGATATCATTCGTATTAAAATTATTGCTTGCATTCTACAAGAGAAAGAGGGTGACGAAAAAACTTATACCTGAATGATTAAATTTAATTACGACCGTGTCGAATTACATATAATTATTTCGTTGAAGGGAGCCCAATATAAAGAGAACTACTGAACCTTTTTGGACATTGAACTTGATCCTACATTTTAGCAGTAGAAAAATTCTGTAACAAAGTTAAGTGTTAAATTGCATTTGTTAAAATATAAATAATTCCAACGTTATTTACCAATTAATTTAACAAAGATTTACAGTTTGTTCGCATATATTATTGATACAGTTAGGGTGCAGTAATACTAACAGTAACTTGTGCGGAATAAGAGAAACCGTATGCTTACATAACAATTTTACGTAGCTTAAATTAGTTAGTCGTTCACATTACTACTGTATAATATCAAATATAATATACATGAATTGTAATATACATGAAAAAAGTAAAAGCAATATAAAATGGTACTATAAATAAAAAAGTGATCAAACCGTAAAAGTTAGTTACAAACTGAAGTTCTGCACGATAATTCAATAGGGAAATTCAAACTTAGGAGATAATAAATTCGTGTAAGATCTTTTTTATACATGAAGCTCATGATTGCCAACGAAAATACTTGCGTCTCGATAATATCAAGTTGTTGCTACCTTCTCGGTAGCAAAAACTTGAAATGTCTTTCATTTCAATTAGTATCCAGCAACAGATTTTTTAATTCTATATTAATTCATGCCAACATTCTCGACTACCAGTTTGAAATGAGAAAAAGAGAAATTTCTAAATTCCTAAATTGGATCAATAACATTAACATACGCCGTATTCAGCAAATAGCATCAAAATACGTATTTAAAAAAGTTCTCAAATGGAAAGATAGAAAATGAAACTGAACGAATGCAAAAGTACAGACAGTACGAAAGATGAGACTCCCCAACCCATTGTTTTCATTGAGATTAGATTTTGAAATTACAGCTGAGGAAACTGACGATGGACAGAGAGTCCTAATAATACTTACTGGAACAACTTTGAGAACCTGGCAAGTCTATCTTGAAATCGTATATTCGTTGTCATTCTGATGATGTCCCGTACTGCAAGAATGGATTTCTTATCACAACATCACAAAGTAAAGAAACGTGTTATCACCGGCATATGATTAAAAAAAAAACTTTTGAAGTACCACAACAATCTGACAAGAAAAACAACAAAAAATAAGAGACAGCTAAGCGACCTACTACTATGCTCTTTCGATTTTAATGTTTAAATTAGATAATAAGGATTAAACGAGAAGCAAATCCTAAAAATAATGACAGGTTTTCAAATTACGAAAAATCCGAATTTTTAATATGAAATAATAGAAGGCTGAACTATTGGCACTTCGGAATAAAAGAAAAAAGCTATGGAAAGATCACATAGAGAAGAACAACTTATCAATATGCAATTCCTCCCAGATGGTATCTCAATTTCTTATACAGAACAAACATTTGCTTGAATAGGATATGATACAAACCGGCCAACTAATCGATAGCAGAAATAGTGCCAATGTTTTTCTAATAAAACCCGCTTCTAGAAGACTAGATATATTATTTCAAACTACAGTTCCACTGAGATTTACTGGGACTGGTGAATTCATTGAGTGTCGTTGAATTACTGCCTAAAAATAGATTTTCAAATTCATCTATTGACGTGATTATTATACCGAAACAAATTCATCGTATCAACTGAGAAAACACTACTTTACATTCATTTTTCGAAGAGACAGCTTATGCTCACGTACTGTGCTACCTGCCTGCATGCTCCATAAATGCATGCTTCAAAAGGTTTAATATATACGAAGTCTAAATATGCGGTCTGCAAGATCTGATACAGATTTTCAATGTAAATGAATTTTAGAGAAACAATCACTGATATCAGTTTTCTTTTTAAATATTCATACAGAAAAAAAAAAAA